TATTATATTATATTATATTATATTATATTATATTATATTATATTATATTATATTATATTTGAAGATAAACTTTATTTGTTGTCTATAACACGTTAACATGTATATAACACAAACTCTAGGCTATTCCATCCACATTTATATTGTATTTTGTTGCCCTGAAATACAATTGGAAATATATTTTGGTGTAGGAAGATTCAAACTAAATAGATTTTAGATTTTCACTGAGCTTCACTGTTTACAACCTATATTTAGCATATATTTCAAATATATTTTGGCCAAAAAACAATAAAAATAATAATAAATATGGAAAACATGCAAAACTCATGCTAAAAACACATTAGTCACACACAGTTGCGGGATGATTTTAAACAAACTGAGTATATTGCTGCATGTCACATGGCATCACGCCGCCGTAATTCATGCGGTGTCACGGCGGCCCGTCAGACGTTCACTTACACAGTTGTGCATGTGGCTTTGGTTGTCTTTGTTAATTTGTTGAGCTACTGTGCGGAGTATCGCTCTCATCTCACTGTTGCACACATGGTTCTCGGCACACTCGCAGTGTGTGTGTGTGTGTGTGTGTGTGTGTGAGTGCGCGCGTACGGGGCCTGTCAAAGCACATGACGTTCACACATGGTTTGGAGTACTGTGTGAGTTTTAGGCTACTGGGTTCACTCAGGAACCATATGGAGCGGGTCTGTATACCTCGGCTGACCGTCGCGTGATGACCCGGCCCCAGAGGTGTGTCCCACTATTGTTTCATCACACTCTCAGTGTACACACTACACCTCGACGCGCCCCACGAGCACGTAAAAAGTGGCATCATTGCGGCAGTGCACAATGATTTACACAGTGAAAGTCTGAAATAGTTTAAACGCCTTGAGTGCCATCAGCTGTGTGAGAAATATGCAGACCCTTGAGAAATGCACTTTAGCATACTTTTAAAAAGAGTACTTAAATAATACTTAAAAAGAATATGAACTGAATGGTTTCGACACTTAATTGCATGTTACTTTCAATTAAAAGTATTTTAGTACAAAAAGCTGAATTTTAGAGTGGCGAAATGTATTTTAGAGTAATGTCATGTCTATCAAAACTCTTACGTCGTGTATTTTAAATGTATTTGTAAATTACACAATTTGTAATAATGACATAACTACATTTAAAATATATTAACCTGTGTAATATGTAATTAACTTAAATGTAATACGAAATAATACACTACAGTTAAAATTATAATCAAGTACTTTAGTATGTTAGTCAACACATCAAAATAAGTGTACTTCTTTAAAGCACGACAAAAGATTATTAAAACATAATGATTTCAAATGTACTTTAAAGTAATACATTATTACAAAGTGCACTTTTTAAAAACGGACTTAAGTGTGTTATGAAAGTGTCTTTTTTTAAGCAAATTTTCATTTTATTAATATTATATTTTCTGCAAGTGCAGTTTTTTAAAGATATACTTTAAATATTTGAAGTACACTACAAGTGCACATTCAGTACGATTATGCGCACTTCTTTTTCACAAGAGGAGTTTCCTGCAACTTCTCCCCTGCTGAGCCAGTTTAGACTTAATGTTGACATTAAACTTCATCCAATGGGCTATTACTATATAAACTAGATAATGGTGTACAGGACTGGCAGAGGGATGGGATTCTCTGTACATACTGGACCTCCACACATGCAAAGTGTCCTAGCGGGTCAGTAACGCTGCCCACTCTTTGTTCCAGATGTCATCTCTCCAACACATTACAACCCGTACTTCAGGAGGCTCAGGTTTGACGTGAGCTCCATAGAGAAGAACGCCTCGAACCTGGTGAAGGCAGAGCTCAGGATCTTCAGGCTGCAGAACTCAAAGGCCCGTGTGTCTGAGCAGCGCATTGAGCTTTACCAGGTCAGTCCTCTCCTCTCCATCAGCCCTCCATCCACTCATTCAACTCCATGAACAAATCTGTCGACTCGGTACTTGCATGCACACTTTAGCTGTTTTCACACTCAGTTCGCTTCCTTGGTGTCCTTGTAGATCTCTTTTCACAGTTTTCTATTTGAGTACAAACTGCTTTATGTGTTTACGTCTTCAAAATAGCTTAAATAGCTAATACCATGCACTAGGTAATTATTCAAGAGGACCACATGCCAGTTCCAGTGTTGTTTTTAATTTATTTAATTTGCCAAAAATGTACGTAATAATCAGCCATATTACAGTACAGGGGCGTAGCGTCTGGGTATGCACGTGCATATGGGGCCGGGCTGATTGGGGGTCCGCCAAGGGGGACCTTTCAATTAAAACAAGAGAATGTATTCTCAATTCGTGGCCACAATAGATATATATATATATATATATATATATATATATTTATTTTTTTTTATTTTTTTTTATGTGCACGGCTTGGTATTTCTTGTGTGCATTTGTTATAATCTTGCTGTAGAACTGCGTCTTTTTTTTTTTGCGTCTTTCTTTCTTTCTTTCTTTCTTTCTTTCATTCTGCCCGCTGTGCCAAGAGTGTTGGCATTAAGTAATTTAGTAAATATGGCAGCATTTTAGTGCCATAATATTTATAGCATAAAGTCAAAATTACGAGATTAAAGTTGTATTATATTGCGTGAATAAAGTTAATTTAAAAATAAAAAAAGTCTGTGGTGGTTAACTGACTGATGACTGATTATGAAAATAATAAAACAATATTGGCAAAGTTATGCAAGTTACTAAACACTGTATAGCTGATGTACAGCTGTGAAACTCTATGTCAAACCTGGAAGACTTTGGTCGTGTAATGTAGAGGTCTGCGAACCGCGGGACCCGACCGGATTTTTTGCACCACGGGATTAAATTCCCAAATAAAATGCGTAGCGGTCGGTAACTCTGGTGTAATTTGAACGGGAGCGTGCGGTCTAACAATATCCCGTTCCCGACGTCCATTTAGAACAGCATATCTGCGCTTTATTCTTATTGACCACCGGAACAGTTGGCGCTCAGGACTGTTATGCACGCGCTGCACGCATGCTTTAAAGTCACATGTTTTATTTGCATGGTCTGTGCGCAGCATGTGCATAACGATACTCAGAGCAGTTTGTACCTGTGGTAAATATACGGCCCTTATTCTTATTGACCACCGGTACAGCTTGCGCTCAGGACTGTTATGCATGCGCTGCACGCATGCTTTAAACGTCACGCGTTTTATTTGCAAGGTCTGTCTAAGCATGTGCATAATGCTCAGAGCAGGCTGTAGCCTACCTGTGGTAAATATACGGCCCTCAGACAGAACAGGCAGGTTGTCGATGAGTGACAGAGCAAAATGGAGCAAAGTGTGGATGCGCTGTCCTTGAAGGACGTTTAACTCGGTTTTGTATTTTTGTACAACCTACATTTTTATTTTTTTTTTCTCTGCGACATTTTTTCCCTATTGTGTTGTCAATTTTAAATGAATTGCATCCTGACAAGACGAATAAAAATAAGAAATGTAATTTTTAGAATAGAACCTTGCGGGAGCGGGACTAAAAAAACAGTCCCGCGCAGACCTCTAGTGTAATGTCATTGCTGTCTTCATGTTATTAATGTTTGTTCATGTAATGCAGGGATTCCCAAACGTTTTTGTAAGCCAAACCCCTCAAAATAAAATATTTACTTGAAATATCTCTGAAGTTAATATTTCAAATAATTTAACAACACATTCACATGTTTACAGTTCTGTCATGTTGGTTAATGGCCACGTTATGTACACAAATCAAATATTTAGATTAGTTTTATTTTACATTTTTTATGATTTAATTAATTATTAGCTTTTTATCAACTTCACAAACCCACTGTTCTTACGTTAAACCCAGTTTGAGAAACCCCGGTTTAATAAAATGTTAATGCATTGGAATATATTTTCTTTCTCTTTGCTTTTTTATATCAGAATGGTATGTTTAATGGTAAGTTTAAAACAGGTTAAATAAAAACTAATCTAAAAGTAATCTAAGAAGTAGTCAGAGTACATTGCCTAAAATGATTAATCTAGATTACGTTACTAATGTGACAGTTTTCATCATGTAATCTGTAATCAGTAATCTGTAAGTAATCTACCCAGCTCTGAGGGTAGATTCAGTAAGTCAGTAAATTTTAGTGCTATGTGATATCATTAGCTAGCATTTTCAGGAAAAGATGACTGGAACACAACACAAGGGTTTAGTCTTCTGAACTATGAATGAACAGATTTAACTACTAAAGTAACCCAGGCCACTTGGACTCAGTTGTGGTTCACTAATACGCACTCAAGTTCAGAAAACCGTCTTCACACCAACTGAACAAACCAAACTGTGACGTCAAACAGACTTGTGTACGTGGTGTGAAAGCGCCCACACATGCACTTTTTAACTTCTCTTCTCCTCCTTCTCTGTCCTCGTATGTTCGTTTATTTATCTTAAGGGTGCTGTAGGGCTCGGGCCCATCGATCAGCGGGGTTTTATGTGTGTGTGGAGAGACGTGAGTGTGGAATGCTGTTTGGTGATTTAGAGTTCGGAGGGTCTCGAGGGCTAAATAAAATCCCAGCGCTGTCGAGGTCCGCGCTCCCCGCCTCCCACCTGCCTCTCCGTTTAACCTCGCTCCCCTCCTCTCTGTTCATGTGTCCGGTCCGTCATGACAGGTGCAGTAAACACTGGCCCACTAACACAGAGATGGTGAATGTCTTAGGGAGGGTTTAAAAGGAGTTTGCAGGGAAGGGAGAGGTTGATCGGCTTCCATTTGTATTACTCCTGTTGTAACTGGTCAGGTTCATACAGTCGATATAATTAAAGTGAACTTCAGAACTGATAATATAGTGCAATATGTGACCCTGAACCACAAAACCAGTCTCAAGTGTCAATTTTTTGAAATTGAGATTTATACATCATCTGAAAGCTAAATAAATAAGCTTTCCATTGATGTATGGTTTGTTATGATAGGACAATATTTGGCCGAGATACAACTATTTGAATGTTTTGCACTGAGGGTGCAAAAAAATCTAAATACTGAGAAAATCGCCTTTAAAGTTGTCCAAATGAAGTTCTTAGCAATGCATATTACTAATTAAAAATTAAGTTTTGATATAATTACGGTGGGAAATTTACAAAAGATCTTCATGGAACATGATCTTTACTTAATATCCTAATGATTTTTGGCATAAAAGAAAAATCTATAATTTTGACTCATACAATGTATTTTTGGCTGTTGCTACAAATATACCCCAGCGACTTAAGACTGCTTTTGTGCTCCAGAGTCACATATAATGTGTTTAATTAGATAGGTATTACATTGACTAGTTCAAGAAGGGAGTCAAAAATAGTGAATCTAATCACCATACAGGCAAAAGTTCACTTCAGGAATGAACCAAGTAGAGTTTGTTTCAAGTTTGATGTATAAAACTGGTGAAACAGCTCAAACTGAAAGATCAGAAAGAGTAATATAATATGCAGTTTTCCTATTTATATACTTTATCCAAGCTGTCAAACCACAAGACCAAAAAATAGAAAGACAAACTTTTTTCCCCCAAATATCATGAATTAATATTCAATAAATATAATTGACATTGAAAGTCACTTTTAATTGGTGGACAAAAGCTTTTCTAATGTTTATGATATGTGACCCTGGACCACAAAACCAGTCTTAAGTGTCAATTTTTCAAAATTGAGATTTATACATTATCTGAAAGCTGAATAAATAAGCTTTCCTATTTTTGGCTATTGCTACAAATATACCCCAGCGACTTAAGACTGGTTTTGTGCTCCAGAGTCACATATTTTAACAAAACTGCTTCACTGCTTATTTAAGTTTTTATTTATTCCCTAGAAATAGCAATAATAGATGCCATACTTCTTGATAAGGTTTTCTTTTCAACAGTTTTGACCTTTTAATAAGGATGAAATGTTTGGCTCATGTCCTCAAAAGTTCAAAATCGTACTCGGTTACTAACGTAGATACGGGAGCTCGCTCGTGGCCGATCGCTCGACCCCTCTGCCCCGCTGTTTTTTCCTCACAGGTCCCTGGCAGGAAGAAAACGGGAGGGTGTGGGGGGCGGAGTCGCTCTCTGAAAAGAAAGAGCGTCTTAAGCAAGACACAGTACGAGTGAAGTATCGAAAGGGAACTATATTGATTCAATAATGAAAAACATGTTAATCACAGAAGAGGTGTTTTTTATGATAATTATTTATCATTTTTAATTTGATAAATAATGAAAATATTTCTCTAAGACATAATAATATATAAAGTTAATGACAAAGTATTACAATTTCTTCATCATGATATCAGAATCAATATTAATTCAGAAATGAAGAGCATGTTCATCACAGGTGTTTTGTTTTTCTCAAATTTTAAGAATTATTAATTCCTAAATAATTAAAATATTTTTTTAAGAAATAATATTATTTTTTCGTTCTTTATCTCTAATAAATACAATATAAGATTAACTACTAAATAAAGTTTTCTTTTCAACATATATATATATATATATATTTTTTTTTTTTTTTTTTTTTTTTTTTTTTTTTCCACAAAAG